GAATCTAGGGAAAAAACATTTGGAAGCTAAAACTAGTTTTTACTATTACTCTATTCCTATTGCCAACGCGGTAACTTTGCCAAGTGTTGTTGACTACATGACTCGTGTTCAAAGGATCTTCTAAGAATATTCTTGCCTCTGGCATCTCGGGCAACCATGCAGGACAGGCAGGTACTCTCCAGTTTGTTCTTCTAGACTTGAAAAGCCTCATGGTGTTTTGGGGTGTTTGGCTTTACACCCCTGATTCCTTCTCAAGATAGGATCTTACATATCTAACACCCAGGCCAGAGAATATCTGTAAGGAGGTAAGAAATTACATTGCAGTTCCCCAATTTTTTCCTAAGCTTCTACCACGAGACAGTTTCTGGTACTGACCCTGGCACTTTTACGTGCAGCTTAACTTGGTACTGATCTAGCCACGTCAAGGAGAGGAAGACTTAACCATCTGATTCTTAAATTTGCCAGTTCCAGTAAATACTTGAGGATGGCTCAAAATGCTGACTTTGAAGGCAGGTTCTATAAAGCCCCACACAGAAAAAGAGACTTTAAGAACTCCATGAAAATAATTATCATTTTTTTTATTCATGCAAGCGATTCGAACCGCTCAGATTCACCAGCAATGAAAAGACAGTTCCCTGAATCTGAGCAAGAAACGTGTTAAGAGCTGACAAATTTGCTGGCTTTGCACGCTGACCGTGCTGTTTTTACAGTAAGGCTGGTCTTTGCTCACTGAAAAAGGGTGGAAGGGTCAAAAGAAACAGAGAAGTGGTGTGGGAGTAAGGAAGGAACCCGCTGCTTTGCCTCCTGCCTGTCCTCTGAACTTCCTGCAGGGACTGCCAGGCTGAGCTCTGAAAACCCATCCATGAAGTACTCTTCTTTCCCAGGCTTTGTGCCCATGGAGCAAGCATTCCCTTCACAAACCAGTCTGCTGGCTCACTTTGCCAGCTATTTTGTCTTAAAGGAAATACACTTTTCATACGTAAGCAAGTCATACTCGCCTCATCCAGGGAAGCACAATGGAGAGATCTCCCCTGACACGCTATTAACCTCTGTTGGCAACACTGCTGGTACTTAGGAGATGGGTTGAAGTCAAGTGGAGTCTCCACCCTCACCTTAACTCTGCTTTCAAGTACCACGTTGAAACTTAACATGATCAAAACAGGTCAGCAACTCCTTTGCCCTCACACCATCCAACATCATGGGGAACAGATTTAGACTGGAGATGAGGAGAGGGTTCTTTACTGTGAGGGTGGTGGAGCACTGGGACAGGTTGCCCAGGGAGGTGGTTGAGGCCCCTTCCCTGGAGATATTCAAGGAGAGGCTCAATGAGGCCCTGGGCAACCTGGTCTAGTTGGGGGTGTCCCTGCTGACTGCGGGGGGGTCGGACTAGATGGCCTTTGGAGGTCCCTTCCGGCCTGGACCATTCTATGAGTCTATGATTCTGTGATCATCCCTGGGCGCAGCCTTAGTTTTGTAAAATCTTGGAAGGCCAGCTCAAGGTACAGGTGATCTGTTGTTAAGTTAAAAGAGGATCAGAAGCAAAGCAGCACCTCTCACCATCCGTGCTGCTCTGTCCCAACACCTCTCAGCACACAGAGCAAGGCTGAGCAGGGAGAACAAGTAGTGGTCTACCAGGAGCAAAGCACCTCGATTGCTTGAAGCTACTGCAAGCTCTTGGCAGACAATAAAAAAAGGCTCCACAAAGAGTGACTCAAGCCTTCCAGGAGGAAAAGGTGAGACTGGATGAACTAAACAGTCCCAGGAAGGAAAAAGGCTCTTACACCAGGAGAAGGGAGAGGAGGGAAGTGCAGCTGAGAGAGGCACCGGTGACCTGTCAGTCTGAAGGTGACTCCAAACCACCCCGTGGAGAAGCAGGGCCCAGCATCTGGGGAAGCTGGTGGCACGTGTAGTTGATGAGGTGGGCAGGAAAGCCAGCAATTCTTAAACCACAGGGGGTGTGTACACCTGCATAGGGAGAGCACACATGATGGAGATACATTTGGGAGCAAAAGTCTTGAGAACTGTTAAATTCAGTCCAAGGATATTTAATTTTTTTGGGTTTTTTTTGCTTCCTTACACTACATAAACTCCTCGGTCATTCAAAATTCATATACGGTAGACGTGAAGAACTAGGAAAAGCCAACCAAAACGAATCAATTCTTCCACATCCAACAGGGCAAATACCTGTGGGCAATTTTCTGCCATTAGTAGATGACACCTGTAGCACGTTCACAAACAGCAAAAACGTATCAGGCTGCAACATTTTCAAAATAACTGAGATTTAAAGCAACTTCCACTCCTCAAGGGGGGTTCGCACAGCAATGCTGTGTCACACTCAGTTTTTCCTACAATGCGTAGCACGAAATTGCCAAAATTGAGATCCCCACAAATAACAAAAAACAGGATTTGCATTGGCATGTATGAACTGCCTCTGACAGCATGTTTTACTTGTTTTCACTTTGCAAGAGAGGCATCAGGACACACCAATTTTGTACTTATTTGGGCCAGCCAGTATTTAAAACTCGCTGTGGAAATGGTCACTAACACGGCTGCTCCAGGTTGAAATCTTTAATAAAGATAACATCGTCTTTTTCTAAAAACAATATATTTATTGCTGCAGATATTTAAAAGGGGAGTACCCTAACCAGCTAGTTATCTGAACGGCAGAGTCATCTGTTTCAGGACTATTTTCCCTATGCTTTGACAAGACATTCTCAATAAACAGGTATTTGTACCATAAACAGGTCTAAGTTGATCTCCAGGTATTCGAGATGTAGGTATGTTAATGCCATCAGCTGCTACCAGACACCCTACACGGACGTGGGGGTTGTATTTAGTTAATCCTAGTGTTTTTAGGGCCTGTTGCAGTTCCTTTTATATTTAGGCAAGCGCCCACAAGTTATGGTGGGGCACAGTAATCGAGATTAGTGAGAATAACAACGTGCAAAGTCAAGGCTCAGCCAGCCCTGCTTTGTTCTGCGTGACTGACCTTAATACCCTTTACATCCCCAGCCCCAGCCTGCGTGTGTCTGGAAGGGCTCAGAGCAGCAGGTCACTCGGCTTCGTTTCAATCAGAGACCAGCAGCAGCTGATACCACGCGAGCAGCTTGCAGTAAAGCTACCTGAATGCTTAGAGAAGAAATTCATTAAAGATTGTCTTCGACATACTTGAAAAATAAATTCGTACCTTTACTTATATGGTGCAGAGAGCACAATTTTCTACATATTAGCATAATATGTTTATAATATGTAGAAAATAAATTTTCTACATATTAGCATAATAGCTTTGCAAGAGGATCTAGATAGATTGGATCACTGGGCCAATGCCAATGGAATGAGTTTCAACAAGGGCAAGTGCCAGGTCCTGCACTTGGGCCACACCAACCCGCTGCAGCGCTACAGGCTGGGGGAAGTGTGGCTGGAGCTGCCTGGAGGAAAGAGACCTGGGGGTTCTGGTTGACAAACGGCTGAATATGACTCAAAAGGTTGGGCATCCCTGGGTTAAAACACAAGCACCTAGCAAGAGTGTGCCTTTACAGAGCAGGATGCCTATCTGTGCAGGCAGAGAATAAAATAAAAATAAAAATCACCCTTTTTCAACAGTGGAGACAATTTATTTTGGCTGTAAAAAGCCTTAACTAGGATCTTCACTCTTCTCCTTTTTCTCTTCACAAATATAAATCCCAATCTTGGGCCAACATAAACACTACAGAAACTTAGTATTACTTAATCTGTTTTACTCTTTAAGTACTTACAGATGGCTAATTATTTAAGACGCATGTAAGTGCTTCACAGTTAAGCACAAGTTTTACACACTGACATCGTTTTACAAACTGTCAGAGAAAAAACTAAAAAAAAAAAAAAAATCAGAAAAATCACTGATATATTACAGCAAGAGTATATTTTTTGAGTATTTGAGGCTTTTGAGCATATGAATACATAATTAACTGGGGAATGAATAATTCTGCAGTGTTTTCCCACTTGAACAATTCTCTTTGCCTGTAAAGGCTTCTTCAGGTAAAGTTGTGTTATACAATGTTCTTCTAAGCTGGAAAAAAAAAGAAAGAAACAAAACCTGTCCTCTGAACAGCCTTATTTCTATTTAGTTCACTTTCTAGAATACTGTTCTAGTTTGACAGGATTTAAAATCCTCTCAAACAGCTTCAGATGGTCTCGTAACTCCCCTACTCAAAGGGGACCCAGCCCAGTGGCAGGTTCAGGAGCTCAGCGCTCTGAAACCACTTGGAATAATTGGTGGCCTAATTAAAAAAAAGAAAAAAAAGGCTAACAGACTGCAGAGAAGGTATTCATCCCACACTAAGTCATTCATAGAATCATCTAGGTTGGAAGAAACCCTTGGGATCATCGAGTCCGACCATCTACCCTACTCTACAAAGTTCTCCCCTAAACTATTGTTTATAGTTCCCACCTCGAAATTTCATTGACTCATCTGTCCCAATCACCTTATCTTGCTCTCTTCTATTTGTTGCAAACACATGGGAGAGGCCACCACGAAATACCATCCAATGTCTTTAGCACAGCTCTGCTTCTCCAACGTAATGTAGCTCCTTGACTTCAGCATCCTGGTGAAGGAAGCTGCAAAGAACTCTCTGGACAGTGCTATTTAAAACAATGCTGCTTTCAGAAAGGACAGTGTCCCTTTACAAACCCAGGCACATCGTGCTCCAAATCTGCTGCCAAATTAACTTTGGAAACATACGTACTACAATTTTCTAGAAGTCAGGCATCTGATTAACAACAGGTAGAATTAAGACCTCTCAATAGTATGGCACCTGCAACTCTCAAAACTGGAACTTTAATTGTATTTTCATTATGAATCCAACTAGACCAAAACTGACACACAAGAAATATATATACAATTGACACCTTCACCTGCACAGCCTGGGGAGAGATCAACCCTCCAAAACCCACAGAGCTTTGCAATACAGATGAGACACCTAAGCACTTACTTCAGTAAATAATAGGTCTGGACACAGGGCTATAAACACCAAATAAAGCTCTCCCTTTGATCTTTATAAAATACATAATGAAATCTCTCAGAAGTGAGTGACAAAAACATTACAAAACTGAACTTCAAAGATAGCCCTTTCCTCCAATTATCAAAAAAACCTGACTTACCTTCGTCTTTGAGCTAAACTTAGCTGCTTTTACACAGGATTAGTAGCTCTACCGTGTGCTCACAGTCCCATTACCTTGTTACTTTAATTGCTGAGCTAAATTTACATTTAAGAAATTTCACACTTTCTTGAAAGAGAGAGGAAGAAAATGGCAGGGACTTAGCAACAGATGTATTATAAACATAATATTACAAAATCCACTCTCTATTTGCAGCTTGCTGTCCCTCAGCGAAGTCAAGGATAAATACTTTCAAAGCTTTCTTCAAATTTCTGTATTTCATAATTTTCAAAAATAATAACAACTCTAGTAATACTTTGCATTCCACTCTGTAGACATTTTGTCAGAAATAATGTCCAAAGAGATCTGTCTTCACAGTAATATTAATTTAATAGCTAATGTGCATTATTCACATCTATGTGCAAATACATGTGATATTACCCCAACATGCAGACAACTGAGAGGCAGCTGCTTAGAAAGACACTTTCATGCATCTTAAGCCACCCTGACCTACTAGTGTTAGAAGATTTGCTGATCCACTATGTTCTCCTTCAGGTGAAAACGGAGAACATTTAAATGGTTCATTCTGCTGCACATGAAACTGGTCAGTGTTTTGGCCATCTCTCTCTCTCAGGTTCTGTTCTACAGGAGAAAAGCCTTCTGTGCAGCCTGCTGTTTTCAATACATGTAAATGCAAACACAGCTGGTTTTCTGTTCTTCAGGGACTCTTCTTCTTGCTTTTCTGTTCTTCCTTGAGCTCTTTGGCGTTACACCTGGAGCTCAATGCTGTTAACATTTCTATTGTGGTCAGGTTGGCTCCCTTCATTATCAATCGCTCTCCATCAGCTACAAAGGGAAAAAAAAACTTAAGAAGTCACAAAGTCTAAGTCACAATTACTTTAGTGTGCAGTTCTGTTTTGTAGAAATAAATCCAAATACCCTGTTCATCTTGTCTGATTAGAAAGTACTCCCACTTACCAAGGAATCTGATTATGCACCACCACCAAATAAATCTATTAAACTGCACACAACACACATGTAATTTTCATTTCTGTACTGCCTTACTGAAAAATCTGAAACATTTGTCTACCTATAGTAAGAACATATATTTGATGAGAATAGTTCATACTATGCCCTCAAAGTCATCTAAACAGAAGGCACAGAAGGCACTGCAAGGCATAATTTCCACACATGGCTCAGCATTGTAGCAGCATGTTGTCTATGGTCTGTTTAACTTACTTCTTCAGCCAAAACAATGATTAGGTTTACACAATTTGGTGATTATAATGCAAAAAAATAGAGAACACTAGAATTTCTAAAATCCCAAATGAAATTATTTCAAAACAGGGAGGAGGTAGTAGAAGTTAAGCATTGTACCTAAGTTAATTACTTATTTTTGCAAAATTTGCAATACAAAAGCTACACTCAAACCCACATAATGCAAAACCATGCATGGCATCAAAGTTCCAGCCCCAGGTTTGCCAGCTACAAGGTCTGCAAACTCTTCACTTGGAAAATAATCAGCTCTTAGAAAATGAAGAGTTCAGAACTGTAGCTCTTGGCATTAGTGAAATAAATTGTTTTGGTTTCATGTTATGAAAAACATTAAGCTTTACTGCTTGAGTTTTAATACATCACAGTTAGAGACAAGGATGGGAAAGACAGAGGCATGGGGGAAGGAGAAACAAGCAATGTCAACAGTGAAATAATGAAATCTTCCTAAGGAAAATGAAGTATATTCAACCCTCTTGACATTTCTACCGATTCATTAAATATACGGAAGTTTAAATAAAACTGGGTAGCAAGAAGCAATAATAATGAAAACTTTAATGGGCTACATAACATATTGGTCCATTACAGCACAGCAGGAAAGAAGATGCAGCCAGAGAAAAGGACAAAAGCAGATTAGAGCCATCTGTTTACAGCCTAGAATCTGGGCCACTTCCAGAAGTGATGAAATTTCTACCATCAATTCCCTGTCTGCCCACCATACCCTCAAAGGAAACCAAGATATCTGTTGTACATCAGTTGACCTCATTCTGCAAGTCCATCTGCACGTGTATGGTCTTATCCATATGAGCAGTTCCCTCAAACTGCACAGTAAGTTCCTCAGTTGCATAAGCAACTAAAGGAATTCAGCTTTTCCATTCTCAAGTCTGAGATGCCTCCACCACAGAAAAAATTACAGAAAGTGAACAGATTCTTACAGAGCTACAGGTACTTCCCTGTAATTGTACCTGACTGCAAGGTCACCCAAGTATGTCAACACAAACGTAGACTCAACCCTAAAGATAAGGCAGTTCTTTGATCTAAGATCTACCAGATCTAACTGTAGTACAGAGACACGTATACACACTTATCTAGACATCAGGCTGTTAATGACTCCCTTTTCCTTATTTCCTCCCAGCTGCACATATCTAGCTATGGACCAGAACCAAAGAAAAAGTAACCACAGTAAAAGAATCATGAAAAGAATAAGACTGTAACAACACAAACCAGGAACGCACTTTTTTTGGTCAAGATTAAAAATGAGCTCCTTACCAAACATAACATCCACAAGTGGCTCCGACCCATCGTGTCTCACATCAGCAGTCACTTCGCAGTTTCTATTCGTGGCCTGGATTTTCTTATGGTTTATACATGCAAGAAATTTTCTGAAAATATATTTGAAAATATGTCAGGTATGTTGTTGATGGACATTATAGTAAGCATATTTCTAAAATGAATCCTAACATCTCCATATTGCTGGGCAACAAAAGTATAAACAAAACAGGACAAACAAAACAAACAGAAAAACAAACAAAATAATTTCAGACAGGTACTTCTTATCAGATAAAAACTCTTAAAAATTCAATGGACTTAAAAGCTAAGATGTTAAAAGCATGCCAAAGAATTTTGCAAAAATTCAGTCTATGCACTTTCTACATCTCTCTCAGCTGGGTTAGTAACAATAACGAAAAAAAAAAACAATCAGCAAAGTAATTTTCATTTTTCTTTATACACGGGTTGCTTGCCAGTGTTTTATTCTGGGGGTTTGAGACAGCATTGATTTACCTAACATCATTGGTCTCCCTTAGATTTCTGACATGCACGACAGCTACTTGGCATTCTGGCAGCTTAAAGACATTCCAAGTTAAGTTCTAAGTTCATTTCAAAAGTAAACGTGTCTGTAAATTGCAAAACGATATTTTACAATTGTTTGGTGAAGAACTTTCATCACTCAAGAAGCACTTAGATTTCTCCAGCAGTTAATTACCAAGATAGAGCAGCAGCTGTTCCTCTGTCTTCTCTCTCCCATGACCAGCACTTGGGCTAGTGATTACAGACCCTCACCCACAGGCTCAGCAACAGAGAGGGGCATCTCCCTGGGCAGTCTGGCAAAGCCAAACGCACGTGCCTACATGCAAAGGTCTATGCTTAGGCACAAAGAACCTCCAAAAATAAGCACAGAATGAATGCTGTGTGCATCCTGGTAACACCATAAACAGAGTCCTTCTAACACAGCATCTTCTCATTCTGAAACATTGGGGTTCTGCCTAGACTAAGCTAAAAAGCCCAGATAAATACAAGCCCTCAAAGACCAAGATCATGGAAGTTAAAGTACATCAGATGCAGACACTTGGGAAAAGGAGGTTCTTCTCCAGAGTGGGAACAACAGATGCTGCCGTTTCCCTCATTACTTGCTCCGAGGACGTCTTCTTACTTTTGCTGGCTACAGTGACAGCAAGTCACTGGGCCCTGCAGTGACAGCTGTTTTAACAAAGGCTTCGGTTTGCATCTGCCCCTGCTGTGACCTGGGACAGCCGCTGTGACCTGGGACAGCCGCTCTCCCCGTCCTCCACATTTCCCTGGGCAGAGGGTGGGCCAGTGCCCCTCACCGTGCCCAAGCTCTGCGGCAGGGGCTGGGACACAGAACCCCCTGCAGACATATAAACCCCCGACTTCTACCCCCCCTAATAAATAAAATTAAAGGCAAAAAACCCAGCCCTCACACCCAGAACCACAGAATGGCTGAGGTGGGAAGGGGCCTTAAAGATCATCTAGTTCCCTGCCCTGGGCAGGGACACCTCCCACCAGCCCAGGTTGCTCCAAGCCCCATCCAGCCTGGCCTTGAACCCCTCCAGGGATGGGGCAGCCACAGCTTCTCTGGGCAACCTGTTCCAGTGCCTCATCACCCTCACAGTGAAAAATTTCCTCCTGATACCTAATCTAAATGTACCCTCTTCCAGTTCGAAGCCGTTGCCCTTCACCCTGTCACCACATGCCCTTGGAAAAAGTCCCTCTCCAGCTTTCCTACAGGCGTGCTTCAGACACTGAAAGGCCGCTATGGGGTCTCCCCGGAGCCTTCTCTTCTCCAGGCTGAAGAACCCCAGCTCCCTCAGCCTGTCCTCTGCACAAACCCCCTCCCAGGGCGCAGGCAGGGCCTTGGGCGACTCACAGACAGGGGAGCCTGCCCGAGGCCTCCCCGCCGGCCGCGGAGGCCCGGGCGTGCCCAAACGGCCGCCGTGGGGCCGGGGCCGGCGGTGTCCCCACAGCCCCCTCACCTCGTGCTCTCCACGTTGGACTCGAAGGGGCAGAAGCGGACCGCGATACTCTTCACCGGCCGCAAGAACACGCGGATCTTGGACGCCATCTTCCTTCCGCCCCCTACTACAGCTCCCAGCAGCCCCCTCGGCGGAGGCGGGAAATGGCGGCGGGCGGGCAGGCACCGTCCGCCCCGTAGGCGCCTGGGAAATGTAGTCCGTGGTGGCCCCCCGCCGCATGAAGGGCTCCCCTCATGGCAGCCCTGGGGCCTGCCTTCAGCCTGGGGGCCGAGGGGGGACAGCAGCCGCCTGCCTACGGGCCTCCCGTAATATCCCGAGGCGCTCAGGGCCGGGCCCGTTCGTGGCTGTGAGAGAGAGGGACCAACTGACCCAACTGTCCCATCCTTCTGGGACTGTGTAACACTGCAGGTACTGGGGGGAGGGAGCAGGGAGAGGGGAGACACACTTTTGGCATAAAACTGACATAAAGGACCTGCCCTGGGCTCTGTAGCAGAAGTAGCAGGCCATTGTGCTGTGAAGACTTGTGTGCAGGAGGCAGAGGGCCTGAGGTAATGCTGAGGGGGAGCTAGAGTATCCATACGCTGAAGAAGCCAGGTTAGGCTTGTTTTCTGTAGGTTAAATCTACCCCTCTTGATGCAACAGCTTTTGATGTCTTTTTTGGGGGCCAGTATTGTTTAATATCTTTATAGTTGATCTGGGTAGGGGGATTGAGTGCACCCTCAGTTAAGTTTGCAGATGACACCAAGTTGGGTGGGAGTGTTGATGTGCTGGAGGGTAGAGAGGCTCTGCAGAGAGATCTGGACGGGTCCTGCCCTTGGGTCCCACCAACCCCCTGCAGCGCTCCAGGCTGGGGGCAGAGTGGCTGGAGCTGCCTGGCAGAAAAGGACCTGGGGGTGTTGGTGGACACCGGCTGAACAGGAGCCAGCAGTGTGCCCAGGTGGCCAAGAAGGCCACCAGCATCCTGGCCTGTGTCAGGAACAGCGTGGCCAGCAGGAGCAGGGCAGTGATGGTGCCTCTGTCCTGGGCACTGGTGAGGCCTCACCTCCAGGGCTGCGTTCAGTTCTGGGCCCCTCACCACAAGAAGGACATGGAGGGGCTGGAGCGTGTCCAGAGGAGAGCCACCAAGCTGGGGAGGGATCTGGAGAACAAGTCCTACGAGGAGAGGCTGAGGGAACTGGGCATGGTTAGTTTGGAGAAGAGGAGGCTGAGGGGAGACCTCATTGCTCTCTACAGCTCCCTGAAAGGAGGGTGGGGTTGGCCTCTTCTCCCAAGGGAATCATGACAGGAGCAGAGGAAATGGTCTGAAGTTGGGGCAGGGGAGGTTTAGATGAGATCTTGGGAAGAATGACTTTCCTGAGAGGGCGGTCAGGCACTGGAACAGCCTGCCCAGGGAGGTGGTGGAGTCACCATCCCTGGAGGGATTTAAGAAACGTGTAGATGTGGCACTTCAGGGCATGCTCTAGTGCCCGGGATTGTTCATTTGTGTCTGTAATTTTTTTGTGGGAGTTTCTTTTTTTTTTTTTTTTTTTTTTTTGTGGTTGAACTCAATGATCTGAAATGTCCCATCCAATCATGAGGATTCTGTGATTCTTCATCCTCCAGAAGCGGTTTATTTAGTACAATTGGATAGGCAAGGATATTAACGGGGTTAAATAAGGAGTAGCTAATACCGCAGAAAAATTAGATGCAATAGTTTGCAGTATGTCAAGCAGAAGAGAGACTCACAGGAGGCGATGCTGCTGGAAGTGAATCCCTTTATTTTTGAGGGGTTGGGCACAGCAGCCACACAGCTGGCCTTGAAACAAAGGTGTGGGGCTGTTGGTGTGGTTGGTGTCGGCCGTGTGTTGTGTGTGTTTTCCACCAGATGGCAGAAACCGCCCTGATACAGCCCTGCAGCCTCCCATGGCTTGGTTCTGCTCAACAGCACCCAGAGCTTGGCGAGTGTTAAGAGACAGGCCGGAATAAAACCAGTAGCAATGTTATTTAAACACACGTTGTGAATCTCTGTGGAATATCCAGTTCCCATTCTGATCTACAGGGGCTGCATTAAATGTCTGGCATCGCTCGTAACGGGCAACCGATTTTTAGAAGCTTATCTTTGTTTATCGGAAGTCCTCGTGTTAAAAAAATCACAGAGTTATTGAGAAAAATCCTCCTCTTTGCTGAGACTTAGCCAAAAGAAATTAAGTAGCACAACTAAATGCAGTGGAGTCAATATAGTTTTAATCTTTAATGGTTTTATTTGTTTATTTATTTTTTTAAAATATCTTAGTGTTTCCATTATGGGAAAAAATACATTTCTGTGAGGTATCTTTTAAAAGACTCCACTGTAACCAACAAATGGCTAATGTAAGTAGGAATTTTTCCTGTTCAACAGCAGCAGGTACAGGACCAGGTAAATGGAGTATTTTACATTTAGAAGGCAAAAGTAACTTAGAAAATTTCAACATATCTTTCTTCATTATAGCACAAAGAGCTTGATGTGTTCCATTTAAAATCTGTTCTACCAGCTTCTGTGGCAGCACTGAAGGAATAACATCAGCAAAGGACTAGGGAAGAAAGAATGGCCACTAATTTTTCTAAGGGCTCCATTCTCCACACTGGTGGTACGATGGCACCCACTGACTTCTAAATAAGCATGGCAAAAACAGTTTTATGTTTGCTACTGATTTATTTTGATAGTAGTTTCATGTAGCATGTTTAGCTTATGTTGCACAATTAAATGAAAATAAATTTTTGTTTACTCCTTTCCACACTTGGGTTGGTTAACTTTACATTTATTGTCAGCAGTAAAAGTTGCTTCTTTCCCGTTAAGCCATCTGTTTGGAGTGATCAAAAAACATCTCTGCTTTTTCAAACTAATTTTTAATTTTCTGAAGTATGAGAGATTCATAGTAACATGACAAAAGAGGTAACTGTTGAAAGAATCTGGTAACTCTCTCTCTCTCTCTATATATATATATATATACTTCTCAAAGTATAGACTGTGTCTGTGAAATGAAACCAAGGGATTCTTTTCCTATGAGTAGGGATATCCCATCGTTGGATAGAAACCCTACTTCTTGATGACCAAGTCTTTCTCTAGATGCAACAGTTTTAGCTGGTTATAGTACTGGTGAGAGTGCTAACTTTTACACTTACTAAATCAGATAAATAGCCAACAACACAGCTATATAAAAAAAAAAAACCCAAACACTTCTTCATCTGCCTTTAAATCCAGGTGGTGGTTAACCCCATTATATTGGACTACCCTAGATTTATAACAAAGTAACTCCCACTGACCTGTGAAGCCCAATATTTAAATGCTATTTCAGGAAAGCTGGTAATTTATCCATGAAAGAGCTTGAATCAGTCTCTCCAACTGCAGCAAGTAATTCGGGAACTCTGAAAAGTCTGCGTTTGAGACTGTTCTCTGGGGACATCCTTGGGAAGCTGAATGATTCATGATTCTTATGTCTAGTGATGATCATACACATACCTAAAGCATAGTAACATGAAGGGGCATAAAAGTTATATCATTATAATAGAAACAGTTTTAGTATTCTTTTCACCAGGTGGATCTTTTTTAATATATTACTGCCTCATCCCAAGTCTACAGACTTTCTTGTCATTAGTTTCACTGAAATGTAGCCACGAGCCCATAGATGATTTACATCTAAGCACCATACAGGGTAAGGAAAAACTGCAGCCATGTTTTACGCTGCAATTATGAAGACAGGCAGAAAAAGACTATAATATTAGTTAGAGTAAGTCAATTTTCCTCTTTTCTCATTGATCATCCCAGCATCTCTTAGATCCAGTGAGGATTATTCAGCTTTTCCCCCTGTTTCTTTCATACTGCTTTCCTTTTCTGTAATGTTTTCTGACTACAGGAATGTCCACATTTCAGAACTCTTGAAATCTGATTTCTCAATATTTTGGGTTTGCCTGCTTTTAGCACCTTGGCTCTGGCTTTTGGTTGCTCGTCAGTTTGCTTCTTCCTTTAAAATCTGGTGGTGGTCTTTTAGATTCTTTTTCCAAAACTCTGCAGGAGAGAGGGTTGTGAGTGCTGTATTTCAGGTATGGTGTTACACCTCCATGCACTTACTCGGGTCTGGAGACTTGGATCATGATCTCTACTTGTCCTCAGCCAATTCTTTCCTCTGCCTATTTATCCCTTTTTCCTGGGTCTTTCCCTGAGTCTTTGTCACAAACATCAACAGGCCCAGAATTTAGCAATCAAAATGTCATGTTTGCACATCTAGTTATAGTGCTGGGTAGTCCAGGAATAAAATGTAATGCTGCCTTCAGGGCAGTAGCCTGTACTGAGGAGACCTGAGCCAACACAAATCCAGCAGCCTGCTTGTTCTGCACTGAGGTGACGCTTCCAGATGGCCACCCAGAAGAGGCTCTTTGAAAAAGATGGTGTGCTGGGCCTGACAGGAGAAACAAATTATTGCTGGAAAAAGAAAAACACTCTGACAAGTGCAGTATCATGGAGCATATCTTTGTAAGAGTGATGGACAGAGACAGTCAAAATCACAAAGGACTTGTAGGAAGTCATTATAAAATAGTAGTGCCACATTGAAGGACAGGTTGGGTTGAATTCCTTACCATACTGGAGAAGCATTGCTTATAGTCATAAAAATATAAACCAGTTTTCTCTCTGGTTTTGTGTCTTCCTTTGAACTGAATATTCTTACACCGTATGTTGGTTACTGAGTTTGAAACATATTTCCCCAAGGAGGGAAAGGTCCTCATAAAGTTCCTTTATTCTCTGAGAATTGTAGAAGTCAAGCATAGGTTTATACTAACAGTACTACTAATTTTGCCTATAATTTATAAACCAACTAATAGTTGTATGCTGTTACATGATTTTCAGAAATAAAACTAAACTCAGCTGGCAAAGGTACTTCCTTTATAATTCATTCTGAAATAGTAACTTTGGGTATCAGTTAAGAAGAGCTTTTATGGGACTGAATAAACAGATTCCCCAGTTGCTCTTTCTTCCTCTGCAAACATGTATTTCTGTTGCCTGAGGTTAGCAATTGCCAGCAGAAATGTTTGCTAAAATAATAGGCAACATTTGACTGGCTGAGAACATACTGTGCCAGTTCCTGACTTCTGTAACTTAATTTC